TATTTGAATCAGAATGCATAGAGGTATATACAATTTAAATTGCCATGTCATTGGATCAATTTTGGGTGTGTATCAGAGATATAGAAACTGATAATTTTAATACTTTGTATGACCTCCCTTGGCTTTTATCACTGCTTGGACCCTTCTAGGCATACTTTCAATTGAATTCTGACACACCCCTGGGTCTATATTATTCCACACCACTGCCACTCTCTCCCAAACCTCCCAAACTCCCTTTGGCTGTGTTAAGTACTTGTTGAGCTCCTGTTGGATGTGATTCCAGAGGTGTTCAATGGGGTTCATATCTGGAGACTGTGGAGGCCAGCCTAGAACATTGATATTGTTGTCCTCCAACCACTTCTTGGCCTTTTTGGAGGTATGTTTTGTGTCATTGTCCTGTTGAAAGATAACATCCTTCAAAGGAATTCCAGAATCTCCCAAGCTAGGAAGCAACTGGCTCTCCAAAATGTCCACATATTGGTTGGCATCCATCCTCCCCTCAATCTCTGCAAGGTGGCCAACACCTTCCCAGCCCATAAATCCCCATACCATAATGTTTTCTCCTCCATGCTTGACTGTTCCCTGTATCTCTCAATAAGCCCCTCTCCTGCCTGTTTCCACACCCAAACCTTCCCATCTGACCCAATCCTATTGATTTTGGTCTCATCTGACAGATCACCCTTCTCCAGTCCTCCACAGTCCATTCTTTGTATTTCAGAGAAAAGGCTAATCACTTCTTCCTGTGAGTTATAGAAAGGAGTGGTTTTTATTCTTTGTTACAGCCTTGAATGAATGTTTTCTGAGGACCCTTCTGACTGTTTGTGAGGAGCCTGGATTGGAGATTATGGAATTGATGTTCTTTGTAACCTCAACAGCATTGGTGGCCTTGCCTGCGGTGATTTGTGTAATAATAGCATGCTGAGAGGTGGATGAAAGCTTAGCAGGACATCCAGAAGAAGGTGCTTGTTGATCAGGAAGAAGGTTCTTGAGCACCCTGGAGACTGTAGGCTGGCTGATACCCAGCCTGGAGGCAATAGTGTGAGTAGAATGACCATTACAGGCCAGAGAAATGATGTTTGCCTTCTGAGCAGAGGAGATGGGGTGCATAGTATAGTTAAGAAGCATTGACAACATAGACAGTGGTTAAATAGCTTGGACTGAGATGGTTGCTAAGGTACAATAACCATAGCAACCATCTTTGATGATTTTTGAAATTGTTTTATGTGATATTGGTTGGATTCTGATGGATCCAATACATACAGTGAGGGACAAAAGTGTTGCAATGTTTGTGAGGTGTGACTTGCTGCTGATGTAGCTCAGGCTATTCTGTTCAGATAATCATGATACCTGTACCATTGGAAAGGGGTGACTCTAAGCTTTCCAGAGCACTAAGGTTCAGTCCAAACAAAGCAATACATGCTGAGATACACCCTATTCTTTCTGAAAAATGCCTTGCAAAGCTTTTGTCCCTGACTGGTGAAATAGTGAAAAGTGACCTTTTGATGGGATTGAGGGCATGAAGGATGGGAAAATATGATTACATAATCAACCACATGATCTTCCTGATGATTTGTCATCATATAAACAATGACAAACATTGGAATTGTACCACTAACCCTCCCTCTTTTACCACAACTCATGAAATCATCTCTCTAGCTCACATGGTCATTTTCTCAAGGAATTATTATCAAATACTGGTGGCCACCACAGTGCCATCAGTATAACATGCTCTCAGAACCATCAGTCCCTTAAAAAACCTGCTGTCAGTCATTCCCTGGACTGTTTCCCCCCCCATGCCTGGTGTGTTCTGGGACTAATCAGTACTTGGAAGGCTGAAAATGTTATGGAGGTCAATCTGGCACTTCAGAACATGATGGACAAACCAGTCCCCTCTCAACCAATGCATTTCTGGCACAGGAACACTGGTATGGAAGTTGGGTTGAGACAAAACCTCCTTGTGCTCTGAGCACCAAAAGAGGGTTCACTAGATCTTGCTCTGATCTGAACTGTAGATGACTGGGGAAGGATTATTTGGTCATATGTGACCAAAGGCAATATTTAGGGCCAGATGGAAGCACAGGATTCTGCTCCATGGCAGTTCAGTAGCATATCCTTCTGATGACACCCAGGGGTAAAGAGGATTTTGTCTTGCCCTAATGTCCATACCACTGTCTGATTATCAAGAACAAATAGCCTCTGATGGTACTAAGGAGGAAATTAACATTGGAATCATATTACAGGAAAATGAATGCTTACACCAGACACTTGGAGGATAGGAATGAACATCTTCAGAGAACTCCATAACCACTCACACCTCTCACGATCTGACAAACCAAAGCCCACACATTTATGTGGGTGATATACTATCTGACATGGCCACTGATGACCATAAGCATGGAAAACAGAGATGCCAAACTTCAACCTGGAGAGTATTCCCTCATCAAGTAGCTTCCACTTGTGGCAACTATGTTCCAGTTGACAGCCAATGTCATATAAGAGGCCAACAGTTGTGGTGGTAGGCAGATGTTCAAAGAGATGTTTCAATAGCACCAAGGCATAGTGCTGCTTTTCTCCTGCAGATGTCATATTGACCAGCCAGAGAACATGATCATGGTGACAAAGCAAAGCCATCAGCCCTGTGTCTGCAAAAAAGCAGGTGTTTGCTTTCTTGCACTTTTCATCTGCTGCATGGAAAGAATCCCCACACCCATCCAGCACTGAGATGGGCACTCTCATCCTGTCCTCAAAACTGTCCCCTTGTTTTTGATGTGAAGAATGATGGTGATCAGATGGAAGAGATTGCTGTTTCTCAATGAAAATTTCCATAGCCTTCACCCCTGATTCAGGAATCAATACAGTGTTGGTAGGATTGGAAGGGTCATGGCCAGCAGAGTCCTTATTTGTTTGCTTCTGGGTGAAACATGCATCCAAGCAGATAATGCAGTCAAGGCTTTTGGAGGTCAGAATTAGGTTGGCATCAATAAACTTGCCATTGACTCACTCATCCTGCTCAGCATTAGCTCTCTGTGGCACACCTCCCCCAAAACATAGTAGACAGCAAGCACATAGGTAGTCACTTGGTTGAGACCTAGTGTCTTGTTGAACAGAGGCTTGGGAGGAGTGAACCAGGCCAGTAATATGGTCCTCCATGTATATTGTTAACACAGTATACCAATGGTATGCATTGCTGAATCATTGTCAAAGGTTATCCTGATGATTGCATGGTAAGAATCCCTTATACTGCCATGAAGAGATAGATAGAAGTGTTTAACTAGTAGATATTAGTACTTCAATAAGACAATGTATAAGGGGTGTGTGTAGTATGGGAGCACATAAGGGGGACAGATAATATAATGATTATCCTATGAATACAACATACCTTGGACTGCAGCTTGTACCCTTGGGCATCTAGAAAACTTTCAAGTGCTTCACACCATGCAGTTGTGTTGGGGGTCAACTGCACAAAGAGTTTCCTCATGAACTCCAACACTTGAAGATCAACTGCAAGAGTAGGAGAGATAGGGGAACACACAAATAGACCATGTCCCATGAAGTGTATAGGAGCTGGGGTGCATGCACAATAGGTTATCTCAATTTCCTCCAAACCTATACAATGAGTGGTATGTGTTTACTTGTCCTGTCCAATGCACCTGCTCTACATATTTTATATAGTAGATCATATCATTATCCTTGTTCATCAGATCTGGCCTATGAACTACCATGCAATGCTGTTCACCACCAAGGCCAGAACTAACCTTCAATATGACTGTTCCTTGAACTGCACTGGTAACAACACTTTGTCTCACATCACAATCTGTGGTACATGTTTCTCTTCGTCTCTGCATCATTTCTTTTCAGCATACCTTCCTATCATAGATATGTTTTATGATCTGTCTTCATCAGGTCTACTGAGGTTGCTTACCAAACAGAGGGTCAAAAATATGCTTCCATGCTTCCATGCCCTGAACTAGTTTGTTCGCTCACATCAACATGTAATCATTTGGTCATCATTCCCTTGCATAGCCACAGCACTGTTAGCACCTGCATCCAGGTAAGTTAAGGTGCCAGCAGATGCTCTGTTACCATTATATATATATATATATTACTTCCCTCTGGCTTGAAACATGCACTCTACTGGCTAACTTATCACCCTGGAGCTTCTAACAAAGTGCATCAGTTTTTCTTTTATCATAATCTTGTTCATATGTTTTTTTCAGTTATTAAATTTCGTTCCATCAACCCTGTGTCATTGCCATTTGTTCATTCCATTGACCCTGTGTCATTTGACATTTTCCCTTGATGGCTGTAAGGTTTTATGAGTCATCCAGGAAGAAGCCAGTGCCAGTTCAAAAGAGGTGCATACACCTTTTGGCCAAAAAACATAAATAGGCACTAACTTGCTTTCCTCCCCATCTCTTCTTCTACCCCCAGTCATTTGTTGAATCACTGACCATGTCCACTCCTTTTTGCTCTTCATTTGGTTTTATACTCTTGCTTGAATTTGAATCAGCAAGGAACCAGGTGACTACATGTTCCTGGAGGACTCCCCCACTGTGTGACTGCATGTCTGCTGTGTGATTCTCGCTGTGCCTCCACAAATGTTGCCCTCTGATCCCTCTATGAAGATTGGCTCCCCCATTGGGGTTCACAGGTCAAAAAGAATCAAGTGTACTGCAACATCACCTGGTAAAATCCAACCTGGGCAAGGTGCAAAGAAGTGCCATTGCACCATCAAACCAAGTACATATGCATAATTTACCCTGTCTTCCATGCTCATGCTCAGCCTCCTTCCAGCAGCACCAACTGGAAACCATGATACTGGTCCTGAGGTTAGAGCTGCATTAGGTCCCTTTTTTTTTTGGCTTGCTGACCTTCATTTTCAGGAGGCCAGATCTAGTGTAGCTCGATGTCCAACTCACAAGCCACATCCACAGCATCCCTCGCAAGGTTTATCAGAAATGGAATGCAAAGAAGAGTATCTCAATTCCTTTTGCTCAACAATGGTTCCACTGAAAGATGGTACAAAATTGGACTGCTGTACTGCCCTCAAGCAGCTCCATGGAGGCATGACCACTATGCAGGATATAGTGGATGAGGATGATCATTCAGTGTTGCTGCTAGCTGTCCCCTCCAATACTCCTTCAGACAATGAGGATCATCATAAACAATGTAAGTTTGTATTCTCTTGCAACCATATTCCCTCTCAACATCACCACTAGCTGTCCCCCCCAGTACCACTTCAGATGCACATCTGCACCATGGCCTCCAGAGCATGTCAATGATGAGGATGATCATGAACAATGTAAGTTTGTATCTATATGCAACCATACCCCTTCTCAACATCACTACAAGCTGTCCCCCCCAATATCCCTTTGGGTGTGCATTTGTCCCATGCCATTCAGAACATGTCCAGCAACAGGGATGATCATGAACAATGTAAGTTTGTATCCTATGAAGTCATATTCCCCTTAAAGGCTGACCCCCCAAATACCCCTTCAGCTTGTCACCCACCCTGTACCCCTCAGAAGGTCTCCTACAATGACCAGTCCACAGAGAGTGAAGAAGATGAGCAAGCAGTGGCAGTTGTTATGCATAGTGAAGACCCTGCTGACTTTGGAGAAGTTTACCATGCAAGCAATGTTGACCACCAACCTTCAGGTATTGTATTTAATGGCACTACTTTTATTTACATAGCACTTATACTCCAAACAGACAACAGTGACAACAAACATAGTGACAGTGACTGGTCCACCACTGTGAGGTACAACCTTAAATGTCAGCAGATGGTGAGAGCAATTCAAGCTGGGAATTATGACCTTGACACTCATCCATCCACCCCTCCTCTTGACTTTCCTTCTTCTGAAGATACTGTGGACACTGAAGGTACTGCAGACACTGAAGATACTGGTGAACTTAGAAAGCACAAAGGGAAATCTACTCATATTCTGCCCAAGGTCAGTAGACACTCTGAATCTGATGAGGATGGGCTTGCTGCAGAGAATGGGCCCCTGACTTTAACATGTGGTAGGCTCCCCATTGATGCCTTACAGAAGGCACAGGCACTTGGTGCATGCACCACTCAAGAGGTCCAAGCCATTGCCAATGAATATGGAAAAACACTTGTGTTGATTATGGCTGCCACTGGGCTCACTGCTAAGGCTACCCAGGCTGAATCAGTTTGGAACATACATCAGGCTTGGTATGCAAGTACCAACCCTAAATTGTCTGATGGTGAGTACCTTTGTGTTCAATTCCTTCCTTGATCCTGACTTGGTCATAGAATCCATGAATGATTACTACAGCTGCCAGATGAAACATTATGAGAGTCGTAAAGATGAGGGAGAACATCCTGAGCTGTGGGCAAAAATTTGGAAGTTCTGGGATGAGAGTATCAATGGTACCAAGGACATGAGTTCAAAGGTAATGGTCAGCCAGGTAATGACATGCAGGGATTTCTTCACACAATCAGTTCATGATGTTCCCCTTTCCCCCCCCTGTTTTTTTTTTCTGATTCATGGCATAATTATATCTTCATGCAGGCACAAACATGGAGTAATGTGGAGGGCATCCATGTTTTTGGATGTGTCATTTATAGTAGAAATGATGAAGCTGTGCACCAAGCTCAAGGTGTCTTTGCTGGCTCTTTGCTCTGCATGTAACTTGCAAGTGAGAGGCAGACAGATGTTGCAAAATTATTGGATTTTCTCTCTACAATTATCAAGTGAGTACAATCATTGTGGGTTGGATTTGCACTGACAATTTACTCTAGATATAAAATCCTTGACTCTGCTGCTTCTGTCCTGCTACCCAACTTTGCCCTGTTATCACAAAAGTCATATGACCACACTCTGCTCTTCATCCACAAGCATACCATTGTTGATTGGCCAGCTGGAGTTCCAGCAGTTGGTCCTGATTTCAATGTGAAGCACCTCAATGCCAATGAGCTCCATGCTCTCACTGTTCCATTTTTGAAAGAGCAGATGGAACAAGATTACAACTTGGAGGCTCCAGCAGAGGAGGAAGAAGACCACTTTGTGCCAGTACCTGCTTCATCATTTTATCTCAAGCATTGGACAGCTGGTGAGTATTACTGATCTTGCACAATTATGCTGGCCTGACTAACATGAATTATTCAGACCAGCTTCAGCTGTTGCACAAAGCTGACCCAAAAGCCTTTGACATTCCATTAGTAGTGAATATGCTTCATCACTCCCTTCACCTCATTTCTGACTTGCAAGCATTTGTCAAAGCACTCCCCCCAACAATGCACCAAAAGGGCCCTGACCAGGAGGCAGCCCCTTGTCTCCCCCCATTCCCAGCTGAAGCACAACCCTACATATGCACATGAGCCTGTGCAGCACCAAACACCTGCAATGCTTGTTGACCCCCTCCAGCATCTGAGTATTCACCTCTTCCTCCCTCATCACTGCCTGACAACTCACCTTGCTCATCTCCTCCATGAGCTACACATGATCCTGCTCTGGTAGCACATCATCTACAACATGGTGCCTCCCACAGCCACTCTCCAACCCTGCACTCCCACTGCCACCCCTGCCACTGAAAACAGAAGTGTTGTTGAGAATATCCAGAAGACAGAAGCAAGAATGATGCAGGCCCATCACAGGGAAGGTCCCATTGCAGGTATGCCATTAGTCTGACCTGAATGCATTATACTGACCCAATGCAGTGTGGTTGAGTATGTTTATCAGAGCCCCCCACACAAGAGACACCACTATCCACCTGATGATGAAGATGGCTACCCCTGTAATCATTATATCCACTACTGAGGTACATTATGTACACCTATGTTACATACCCCCATCTCCACTGATTACATGCATAACCCAGTGCTTGTTGATGATACCCCCCTCCCCATTCATTAGTACTATGGACACCAATCCTTACCTTTCAGTGAGCACCACCCCACATGGCTGTTGCTGCGGAGGTATGTCATATGTATTTTGATTACCATCCCATCCCCACTGATTCTATGCATGGCCCAGTTGCTCACCAATGATACCCTTCCTACCCTTGTACTTCCCATTCATTAACACTGTAGATACAGAGTCAAAGACTTCATCCCCACTAATTCTATACATGGCCCAGTGTGTGCCAATGATACCCTTCCTACCATCATACTTCCCATTCATCAATACTGTAGATACAGAGTCAAAGGCTCACTTCAGTCACCCCCCCCAGGGGACCTATTAGGTTCATATATTCTTATAGATGTATCCACCTAATAGGTGTTGACCACCTGGGTATTCCCAGCGACTGCTGGAGATTCACCAGGCCCTGGAGATTCTCCAGAGCAAGGTGTCAGACATAGACTTTCTCCAGGATTATTACATCTATAAGAGAGTGCCTGGGGTCCAAATGGGGCATTCCCCAGTGGATTAATAGACCAATTTCCTGGGCATCATGGGGGTTTCCCCAGCCTAAAGGGACCTGTTCCCAGGTCATCCTTGGGGATTCTCCAGCCTAAATGGACCTGTTGCCAGGGCACTGTTATTATGGCAGGGCATGCCACCCCATGTGCCAGGTGAATTGGTGTAAGTGTAGCAGCACTCTGGAGGCTGCAATGCAATGTTGTAGATATGTTTTGTGAATCTCCACTATTTTATTTGCATTTTTTGGAGTTTTCCCACACATCTGGGAAGTGTAATTTGTGTGCTGTTCATTCAATTCCTGATGGATTGACTTGATACCTTCTACACAGGTAGCTGGGGACATGGGGCATGCATCTGAGGTATTAAGGATTGCATAAACTATGTGTGGGATGCATGCTGTGATGTTCTTTTGCTTTTACCATTCCCCTTATATCTCTTCAACCAGTGACTTTGATTGGATAATCCTTCAGCATGTTGTAGATACCCCCTAGACCATCCCACCTGCAAAATTACAGATGCATATGTCAAGAATTGAATGAGTGGTGACATGATTCATGTTGGAGCACAGCCACACTTAGCATTCAGGGGCAAGTTAGTCACGTGCTAGGTACATAGTGCCAGATGCAAGGTAGGTGCAGTCACATGGTGTCATGTGACTCAGGGTTCACATCACCATGTCACCCTTGTGACCACATGACCAGAGGTGTGGATGCAGTCATGTGAGGTCACATGACAATGATGGCATCAATCATATGACTGCATCACGTGATCTGTTATGTCATGTGATCAATTGTCATGTGACCTTCGCACTCTGGCTAGACCCTACACTTTTTGTAGTCAACAGTAGCCAAAAATGCACACTACCAAAGTGTAACCTAGCCTACACTATTCAGCACTACCAACTACTACAACTAGCACTAGTAGGTGTTAACACCCCAGCAAGTGATAATGGAGTGATGTCATCATAATGAAAGTTATAGCTCCTGATTGTGCAATCATGATGGTATGCCTATCTTATCAGCAAGTGGAAAATTGCATGAGGAAAACACAAAACACTTATGATCAGTGCCATGCCAGGAGAAATCAATGGCAGCCCTAGAGTCCTTAGGCATAGTACTGGAGAAAACACTTTCCATGGCAGCAGCTGGGTATACCCAACCCATTAATAAATAGACTTAATGGGTCTCCAAAGGGGATTGACTGACATGCCTGCAGTCTTCAAAGCTATCATGGGACATCCCATTGGTCTCCAGAGAGGGGAATGGGATGTCCCATGGTAGCCTCTGAAGGTATCATGGGACATCCCATTGGTATCCAGGGAGGGGAGTGGGATGTCCCACAGTAGCCTCTGAAGCTATCATGGGACATCCCATTGGTCTCCAGAGAGGGGGGTGGGATGTCCCACAGTAGCCTCTGAAGCTATCATGGGACATCCCATTGGTCTCTAGGGAGGAGGGTGGGATGTCCCACAGTAGCCTCTAAAGTTGTCATGGGACATCCCATCAGCCTTGAGGGAGGGAGGTGGGATGTCCCATGGTAGCCTCTGAAGCTATCATGGGACATCCCAATGGCCTCCAGAGAGGGGGATGGGATGTCCCACAGTAGTCTCTGAAGCTATCATGGGACATCCCATTGGTCTCTAGGGAGGAGGGTGGGATGTCCCACAGTAGCCTCTAAAGTTGTCATGGGACATCCCATCAGCCTTGAGGGAGGGAGGTGGGATGTCCCATGGTAGCCTCTGAAGCTATCATGGGACATCCCAATGGCCTCCAGGGAGGGGAGTGGGATGTCCCACAGTAGTCTCTGAAGCTATCATGGGACATCCCATTGGTCTCCAGAGAGGGGGGTGGGATGTCCCACAGTAGCCTCTGAAGCTATCATGGGACATCCCATTGGTCTCTAGGGAGGAGGGTGGGATGTCCCACAGTAGCCTCTAAAGTTGTCATGGGACATCCCATCAGCCTTGAGGGAGGGAGGTGGGATGTCCCATGGTAGCCTCTGAAGCTATCATGGGACATCCCAATGGCCTCCAGAGAGGGGGATGGGATGTCCCACAGTAGTCTCTGAAGCTATCATGGGACATCCCACTGGCCTCCAGAGAGGGGAGTGGGACATCCCACAGTGGCCTCTGAAGCTATCATGGGACATTCCACTGGCCTTCAGAGGGGGGGGCTGGGATTCATCTAGTATGTATGATCCACCACCCACAAACACACTGATTGCCCAGTATTCTTCAAATCTGTGCATAATACATAAGTTGTATTACATGGTTTTGGAATGGTGGTGACTCTCACATATCCCCCCACTTTGACAGGTGTGCTCACCATCCTGGATGATCATGACAGCTATGTATGTTTTTCCAATCAGAAGTGGCATTTCAATGTGAATATGAACTGCACTTTTTTGAGCTGAGGACCCCTGACACCTAAGGCAGTCATGGGACAGCCCAAAATATATTACCAAAGGGCTGGGATTATAGGACATCCCAGGTCCTGAAAACTGTAAATAGCCCTGGGACATGGCCAGATGTCCCTGGAATGACCTGGTCTGAGTGGCTTTTAGCTTGGATGATTTGGAGAAAAACTTCAGCCTAAATGCTTATGAAAATGGGTTACCTGAAGTGATGAAGTCATGAGAGATGTAGCAGTTGGTGTCCCTCATCATGTCTCACCTACAGTCCCTGCTCCACCCCCATCAACTTTGTAGTCACCCCCTCAGTCACTTGATTCCACTCTGCTGTATCCTGAGTCACCCCCAGATGGGTTTGATGTTGCCTCAGCCTTTCCTGCATTCCATCCCATTCCTGTCCAAGCATTCCCACCTCCTACCAGTCCCTTTCCTTTTTACCCAGGAGCTACAGTACACTGATGTGAGTGGATTGGAGGATAATCCTACTCTTGCCCAGATTCATCACCAGATCAGAAGAGAAGAGCACCAGTCACTTGTCTTGCTTCTTACTAGCCTTGCTCATTGCACTCCCCATCTGTCCTCCCTTTATCTCAACTCAAACCATGCACTTGCTGGAGAAAGAGGTACCAATGAATCAGGAGTTTACTTCCAAGACTTCCTTATGCTTGATACTCACTTGGTCTGACAGGTTCCCACCCCACTTGAGCATTAACATGAGCTTGAAGGTTCTGCCTATGTCAGATTCTATCCTTGTCTACTCCCAGAGCAATCTCTAACTCAGAGCAATGCATCTCCACCTCCAGCTGACTCAAGTCTACCTGCTTCATGTGTACTCTCTAATGGCATTACTTGTCATGACCATGTCTAGACCACCCTAGACCAGCTCTATCCCAGTCTCAACCAGTCTTGTCCAACCCTCACCCCAGCCCTGGCCTTAACCCTTCAACCTAGAAATGTGTTAGCTTTTGAGGCACTGCAAGGCAGTGCCCAGTTGAGTTGTCCACTCAGTTGGTACTGGGCTGGTGTAATACCCAGCCCAGCCACTAGTCCTGCCATGGTTCCTGGTAAATCCTTTGTTCATAGTTTTGCTTGATAATATTCTTTGTAACATCCTACTTACCAATCCATTTACCAATCATTGCTGTACTGGTGCAAACCAGTCCCCAGTGCTACATTACACTTACTTTACCTTTAGTATTTAAGCCATAGGATAAACTGTTTAGCCTCAGCCTGAAATCAACCTAGTCTCATCTTAACCTGGTCTCCTCTGTCTTCTGCCTCTTGACTGGACTATGGCCCATGCAAGGGAATAGCACTGCACCTTCAGTTGCTAAGTCCAACAGTCCAACCCTCTAGTATCTTGCCTACCTCCCTGACCTCTGACTGGACTCTGGACTGGCTTTGGACCAGTGATGAACCAGACTTAACAGTATTTCAGACTGACACTTGTGTGGGTCACTACCCTTCTGTCCAAACCTCAGCAATACCTTCTTGGCATGCCTACCCAAACTAGAACCCAAGCAGCATGGGTATGTGCTACCACCAATCCAGAATCTGCCTCAGCTGTCAACTTGTGCTGCACTGCTGCCCTGGTGTCCTTAGGGACAGCCAGAAGGTTTCCCAGTGAAGTCAACAACTTCAGGGGCTTTTCAGCCCACAAATCCACTACACCCATCCCTGATCGACCTCCTGCACCCACTAATGATCTGATTGATGAACCAGATAACTTCAACCCCAGTGGTGATGACCCTGGTGATGATGGTCCTGGCAATGATGGGCTGGGAGATGACCCAGATAATGACAACAAAGATCCCCTCCCAGAAGATGATGTCAAGCCCAGGGCAACCATGCTTGATAACCTCACTAAAGCCATAGAGCTTCTCGCATGCAATGCCTGCACCAGCTCTGAGTTGTCCTCTAGGACCAAGCTGTGCAAACTGGACACCTTTGATGGGACAGACCCAAAGAAGCTGTGTGCTTTTCTTATCCAATGCAAACTTAACTTCTGGGACCAGCCCCAGGCCTTTCAAAGTGATCAAACCAAGGTCACTTTCATGCAGTCATTCCTGAAAGGGATGGCTCTTGAGTGGTTCAAACTGGACCTACTTGGGACTGAAGACCCAGAGGACTGGCCCTACTGGATGGACTCATGGAAAGAGTTTGTCATAGAACTCCAGACTACCTTTGGACCCCATGACCCAGTGGCCAATGCTGAAAGCCAGTTAGACCACCTCCAGATGAAAGACAATCACTGGGTCAACAAGTACATGGTCAAGTTCAACTGGCTTGCCTCACAAGTCTGGGGATATGGTGATGGCACTCTGTGCCACTTCTTCTACACCAGTCTCCCTGACTGCATTAAAGATGAGGTCTGCCAGGTCAGCAAACCCAGAACCTTGCATGAACTTCGCCACCTGGCCCTGGAGATTGATATGTGCTACTGGGAATGCAAGGAGGAAGTTCAGTGGTCCAGTAAGCACCAGGGGTCATCCTCTGGTAACAAGTCAACTCCCAACACCAGTCACAACTCTCAGTCTAAGCCCAGTCAAGAGAAAACC